GTACAGGGACCCAATTTTCCAGGCAATGGTTACCCAATAGGTCAGTCAGCTAATTTCAGAATTTGATGCACCACGAAAAAGGATGGTCATTGGATCAGGAAGTCAGCTGGGCAAAAAAGTTGTCCTTAACAAAATAAATGACATCATTTTGGCAGTAGCTTTGCTGGCCTCTGGATATTTAAATTTCATAAGTTATCACAGATGAATGTTTGTGCAGTACTGGTTGTGTAGAGGCGAAAAGATATGATACACATTGTCAGAATTATTAGTACTAAGAAAAAAAATTACCAGAAAAGATATTTGAGCTTAAGTAAGTTTACAATCATAATATAAACCCACTACCTTGTAAAATTGGCTATTGTGAAATACCAGTGTTTTTGTACCACACCTTTATTATTATTGGCATCATTATCACAAAGTAATCGTTGTGTTAATAGATCAGAATAAATAGGTTTCTATTGAATTTAAGGTTACAAGTTTCACATTTAACCCTCGCCATTAAACTTTTTTAAAAAAATAAAAACAATATAACTGGCTGGCAACAACAGGGATCGGCAACATTTTACTGTAGAGGTCCAGATAATAAATAACTTAGTCTTTGCAAGCTATACAATCTCTGCAGCAACTAGTCAACTCTCGCCTTCAATCATGAAAGCACCCGTAGACCATATATAAATGAAAGAACAGGGCTGTGTTTGCATAAAACTTTATTCACAAAAGCAGGTGAAAATAGATAAATATTCAGTGGTCTGGACTTTGGCCCACAGACCATAGTTTGCCAACCTCTTGGCTATAGTATAAGTGTCATGTACTCAGCCATTTTCTTATTGCTGGGAATTTAGATGATTCCTCACATTTCTCTATTCTAATAAAAAAATTTCAACAAACATCTCTATGGTTAAAACTTTGTCTGCATTTCCAAAATTATCCTTAGAATAGTTTCCTAGAAGTGGAATTTCTAGGTCAAAAGCTACAAATATTTTTAAGCCTTTTTCTTCTTTTGCCACTTGGGCATGTAAATTGGTGTGTCATTTCTGGAAAGCAGTTTGGCAATGCCTAAGTAATCCCTCCCTAAGATCTTGCTAGTTCTAAGTACAATCATGTGTAAAGGAAAACAAACAAACAAAAAGACTGCATGAATTTTATGTTTTTTTTAAAAAAAGATATCTCAATGTATTAGGTTTGTGTGCACATGGCAGATTACAAAAATTCAACATTTTTTACATTTATTTTCCTTTTGTATTTCTATTTTAATATTTTCATTTCTTTCTTGGCCCATTTGTCTGTTTGTTTTTTCTCTTATCATTTTGTCTTTTCCTCTCCAATTTTATTTCCACCGTACATATTTTAGATGGTAAAAATTTAAAAGCACAATTTCTAGAATCAGACGGTCCAGGTTCATACCGTAATCCTTTCACTTCCTGACCGTGTAACCTTTCGCAAGTTACTAAAACTGCCTGTGCCTCAACTTCCACATTGCTAAAATGGAGTCACTAAGAGTATCGACATCACATTCTTGCTTTGAGAACCCAATGAGAACAGCATGTGAAGAAATCACTGTACACATTACCTAGCACACAGAAAATGTTCAATAAATACTATGTATGATAATGATAGTGAAGGCACATTTCCATCCTTGCTTAAATGGTCACTACCTATCTGGTGATCAAATACACTTTTACCTCTATTTTA